CACTTATATATTATATCAAGGAATTATATATTTAACGTTAAATATACAATTCCTTGATTATTTATATTAGAGCAGGGATTATAGAAAGTCCCTGACGATATAGAGAGCTTTAGGAGCGAAGCTCCTGCAAGAGGAGAAAGATCATGATTGAAAATATATATGTAAAAAAAAACTATACACGGTATGCCCATCCCTAAATAAAAGATGGCAATGGCTACGGTTACATGGAAATGTAACAATTAATAATATAAAAGTAAAATCACGAAAATACTGAACTCCGAGAAAAATTCAAAAAGGAAAGTCCCCAATCAAATGGCAAAATCAAAAAAACAAACACATCAAACGAATGGATAACAACTGTCATATTCCTGACTTGGTACGGGCATTTTCTTATGTAGAAAATGGTGGATTGAACCTTGTTTTATAGCTAGCTAAACCTCTCACTTGTATGACAGTCGCATCAAATTCCATTATATTGACAACGATGCGTGAACAAAACAAACAGACACAATAGGTAAAAATGTCAAAAATAGGGGTACAGCAGTCATCATTGTGTTATCATCTTAATCACTATAAAAACAAACAAATGTAACGAAGAAGCACAAAAAGGCATACATCAAATTTAACATCCTCATTTTGCTTTATATTATACGATTTTATTTATCTATGTAAAATCCACCCATAAAGGATGGAAGGTTTTAAGTACTGGCGTAAAATCGCGCGTTTGAAATTCGCACAGGTAGACATAAAATAATTTTGTCGTTCAAAGTATGAGGGGATACATAAATACAGAGTCACGTAAAATGGATATAACAAAAAAACAGACTTAACAGTAAAAGTAATATTAATAAATAAAATAAAATAATTGTGTGGTACAAAGTATGACGATATACATAAGTACAGAGTCACGTCAAATGTATATCACAAAAAACAGACTCAACAGTAAAAGTAATATTAATAAATAAAATAATTGTGTCGTTCAAAGTATGACGGGATACATAAGCACAGAGTCACGTCAAATGGACATCATGCTAAAAAAAACAGACTTAACAGTAAAAGTAATATTAATAAAGATAAATAAAAGAATACTATAACACGTTATTAAGATGATAAACAACGTCAGTACGCAAAATCTATACTTCAAGACCATCGTGTATTATTTGTGAAGTTGATACGGAATATTTATCAACAAGTTCTTGGTACCTTCCGATGAACTTTTTTAGAAAAAGGACGAGACGTTCTTTGACATACCCTTGCTTCATCAACTTTCTGCTCAGACACTGGTGACGTTTTACAAAGTCTGAGTAGGAGCTGCAAGCTCTTGAATACCGAATAAGTTGGGAAATGTATATCCCATATGCAGGTGAAGTTGGTATATTGCTACTAAGGTGGGGGAAATTGATAATTTCAAAATTAAAATCGTCTCGTTTGTCATAGATTCTGGTACTGAGATGACTGTGTATGTCAAATTCGAGGTATAAGTCTAAAAATGAGGCGGAGGAAGCCGTGTCTGTTGTTTCTTTAATTTCTAGTTCTGGTGGATATATTAATGGAACCCAATCAGAAAAGTTCGGATTGTTAATGGAAAGAACATCATCAATATATCTGAAAGTGAAATTAAATAACCTGGCTTCTTTGATCTTAAAAATTATTGTTACATTGGAGACTAATTGTCGGAATGCAGGGTTGGGTAAGGAACCGATTAATTACGAATGTAACAATAATATTTGGGTTTACGGTTACATTGCGTTATTGTTACATTAAAGACTGCAATGTATGATAGATTTATTAAACTTAAACCTTCTATAGTTATGTTGCTTAATTCTTCGATATGTACTAGATAATATTAATAATAATAATATTATTCTGCTAATAAGTATTGATTGTTTTGGTGTTGTTAAAAATCATGACAACTACAGACCTGACTCAAGCTAGCGAACAATTGTAGCGAACAATTAGCTAGCGAACAATTAGGAGGTATAACTAAAAACCACAATATCACATAAGGTTATCACGTTTTTTCGAGCTGGCGAACAATTATGAGAATACATACAATCTTAAACAAAAACGAAAAAACTAACTTAAAACAAAAGGGAAACCATACTTCATATATAAAGAATACAAAGCTTTTCTTTCCTAACTAAATAAATCCACATAAGGCATTCAATAGACAGCTGGATTACAATGACCATAAGTTAACACATTGACACAATGCATTTTTAGGGAATGGGGGTGCGCTTTACGTTGTTTGGTCCGATTAATAGAGATTGTGACAGGTTACAACTATATAGGTGTTTAAGAGGAGATAGTGCCGCATCGTTTAGGAAAATCTCCAGAGTGGTTTATGTTCGAAGATCTTAAATTGTGGTAGAAAAAAACTGAAATTAACAAAATGAAATTAGGGTATAGGACATTTTAAGTTATTTTTTGACCAATTTGAATAGATTGTTACAGGCAACGACTATATATGTGTTTAGAGGAGACATTTCCGCATCGGTTAGGAAAATCTCCAGAGAGGTTTATTTTCGAAAATCTGAAGTTACGGTAAAAAAACTGAAATTGACAAAATGAGATTAGGGGGGTAGGGCACTAAAAGTTAATGTTGAACCAATTTATAGAGATTGTGACGGGCAACGACTATATACTTGTTCTAGAGGAGACATTGGCGCATCGTGTAGAAAAAAAATCCAGATCACTTTATGTTCGAAAATCTGATGTTTGGGTTAAAAAACTGAAATTTACGAAATGAGATTTGGGGAATTTGGGAAATTTACAAAGTTAATTTTGGACCAATTTTAAGAGATTATGACGGGCAACGACTATATAGGTGTTGTAGAGGAGACATTGGGGCATCGTTTAGAAAAATCTCCAGAGTGGTTTATGTTCGAAACTCTGAAGTTACGGTTAAAATACTGAAATTGTGAAATTGACAAAATAAGATTGGGGGGTAGGCCAATTAAAGTTAATTTTGGACCATTTTGAAGAGATTGTGACGGGCAACGACTATATAGGTATTGTAGAGGAGACAATGGCGCATCGTTTAAGAAAATCTCCAGATGGGTTTATGTTCGAAAATCTGAAGTTACGGTTAAAAAACAGAAATTGTGAAATTGACAAAATGTAATTAGGGGGGTAGGCCAATTTAATTTCATTTTGGACCAATTTCAAGAGATTATGACGGGCAACAACTATATAGGTGTTGTAGAGGAGACATTGGCGCATCGTTTAAGAAAATCTCCAGAGTGGTTTATGTTCGAAAATCTGAAGTTACGGTTAAAAAACTGAAATTTTGAAATTGACAAAATGAGATTAGGGGATAGGCCAGTTTAAGTTAATTTTCGACCAATTTCAAGAGATTGTGACGGGCAACGACTATATAGGTGTTGTATAGGAGACATTGCCGCATCGTTTTAGAAAATCTCCAGAGTGGTTTATGTTCGAAAATCTGAAGTAACGGTTAAAAAACTGAAATTGTGAAATTGCCAAAACGAGATTAGGGGGGTAGGCCAATTTAAGTTAATTTTGGACCAATTTTAAGAGATTGCGACGGACAACGACTATATAGGTGTTGTAGAGGAGACAATGGCGCATCGTTTAAGAAAATCTCCAGAGTGGTTTATGTTCGAAAATTTGAAGTTACGGTTAAAAAACTGAAAATTTTAATGTGAAATTGACAAAATGAGATTAGGAGGGTAGGGCACTAAAAGAAAAATTTGGACCATTTTAAAGAGATTGTGACGGACAACGACTATATATGTGTTGTAGAGGAGACATTGGCGCATTGTTTAAGAAAATCTCCAGAGTGGTTTATGTTCGAAAATCTGAAGTTACTGTTAAAAAACTGAAATTGTGAAATTGCCAAAATGAGATTGGGGGGTAGGCCAATTAAAGATAATTTTGGACCAATTTTAAGAGATTGTGACGGGCAACGACTATATAAGTGTTGAAGAGGAGACATTGGCGCATCGTTTAAGAAAATTTTCAGAGTAATTTATGTTCGAAAATCTGAAGTTACGGTTATTAAAAAACTTAAAATTTTATTGTGAAATTGACAAAATGAGATTAGGGGGTAGGGCACTAAAAGAAAAATTTGGACCATTTTGAAGAGATTGTGACGGGCAACGACTATATAGGTGTTGTAGAAGAGACATTGGCGCATCGTTTAAGAAAATCTCCAGAGTGGTTTATGTTCGAAAATCTGAAGTTACGGTTAAAAAACGGAAATTTTGAAATTGACAAAATGAGATTGGGGGATAGGCCAGTTTAAGTTAATTTTGGACCAATTTCAAGAGATTGTGACGGGCAACGACTATATAGGTGTTGTAGAAGAGACATTGCCGCATCGTTTTAGAAAATCCCCAGAGTGGTTTATGTTCGAAAATCTGAAGTTACGGTTAAAAAACTGAAATTGTGAAATTGACAAAATGAGATTAGGGGGGTAGGGCACTAAAAGATAAATTTGGACCAATTTCAAGAGATTGTGACGGGCAACGCCTAAATAGGTGTTGTAGAGGAGACAATGGCGCATCGTTTTAGAAAATCTCCAGAGTGGTTTATGTTCGAAAATCTGAAGTTACGGTTAAAATACTGAATAATTTATTGTGAAATTGACAAAATGAGATTAGGGGGGTAGGGCACTAAAAGAAAACTTTGGACCAATTTAAAGAGATTGTGACGGGCAACGACTATATAGGTGTTGAAGAGGAGACATTGGCGCATCGTTTAAGAAAATCTCCAGAGTGGTTTATGTACGAAAATCTGAAGTTACGGTTAAAAAACTGAAATAGTGAAATTCACAAAATGAGATAAGGGGGGTAGGGCACTAAAAGAAAAATTTGGACCAATTTCAAGAGATTGTGACGGGCAACGACTATATAGGTGTTGTAGAAGAGACAATGGCGCATCGTTTAAGAAAATCTCCAGAGTGGTTTATGTTCGAAAATCTGAAGTTACGGTTAAAAAACCGAAAATTATATTGTGAAATTGACAAAATGAGATTAGGGGGTAGGCCAATTTAAGTTAATTTTGGACCAATTTCAAGAGGTTGTGACGGGCAACGACTATAAAGGTGTTGTAGAGGAGACATTGGCGCATCGTTTAAGAAAATCTCCAGAGTGGTTAATGTTCGAAAATCTGAAGTTACGGTTAAAATACTGAAAAATTTATTGTGAAATTGACAAAATGAGATTAGGGGGGTAGGGCACTAAAAGAAAATTTTGGACCGATTTCAAGAGATTGTGACGGGCAACGACTATATAGATATATATAGGTGTTGTAGAGGAGACATTGGCGCATCGTTAATGAAAAACTCCAGAGTGGTTTATGTTCGAAAATCTGAAGTTACGGTTAAAAAACTGAAATTTGAAATTGAAAAATGAGATTAGGGGGGTAAGGCACTAAAAGAAAAATTTGGACCAATTTCAAGAGATTGTGACGGGCAACGACTAAATAGGTGTTGTAGAGGAGACAATGGCGCATCTTTTAGGAAAATCTACAGAGTGGTTTATGTTCGAAAATCTGAAGTTACGGTAAAAAAACTGAAATTGTGAAATTGAAAAAATGAGATTAGGGGGTAGGGCACTAAAAGAAAAATTTGGACCATTTGAAAGAGATTGTGACGGGCAACGACTATATAGGTGTTGTAGAGGAGACATTGGCGCATCGTTTTAGAAAATCTCCAGAGTGGTTTATGTTCGAAAATCTGAAGTTACGGTTAAAAAAACTGAAATTGTGAAATTGACAAAATGAGATTAGGAGGGTAGGGCACTAAAAGAAAAAATTAAGTTAATTTTGGACCAATTTTAAGAGATTGTGACGGGCAACGACTATAAAGATGTTGCAGAGGAGACAATGGCGGATCGTTTAAGAAAATCTCCAGAGTGGTTTATGTTCGAAAATCTGAAGTAACGGCTAAAAAACTGAAATTTTGAAATTAACAAAATGAGATTAGGGGGATAGGCTAATTAAAGTTAATTTTGGACCAATTTCAAGAGATTGTGACTGGCAACGACTATATAAGTGTTGTAGAGGAGACATTGGTGCATCGTTTTAGAAAATCTTCAGAGTGGTTTATGTTCTAAAATCTGAAGTTACGGTTAAAAAACTGAAAATTATATTGTGAAATTGATAAAATGAGATTAGGGGTGTAGGGCACTAAAAGAAAAATTTGGACCAATTTCAAGAGGTTGTGACGGGCAACGACTAAATAGGTATTGAAGAGGAGACAATGGCGCATCGTTTAAGAATATCTCCAGAGTGGTTTATGTTCGAAAATCTGACGTTACGGTTAAAAAACTGAAAATTTTATTGTGAAATTGACAAAATGAAATTAGTGGGGTAGGCCAATTTAAGTTAATTATGGACCAATTTCAAGACATTGTGACGGGCAACGACTATAAAGGTGTTGTAGAAGAGACAATGCTGCATCGTTTAAGAAAATCTCCAGAGTGTTTTATGTTCGAAAATCTGAAGTTACGGTTAAAATACTGAAAAACTTATTGTGAAATTGACAAAAAGAGATTAGGGGGGTAGGGCACTAAAAGAAAATTTTGGAGCAATTTCAAGAGATTGTGACGGACAACAACTATATAGGTGTTGTAGAGGAGACATTGGCGCATCGTTTAAGAAATCTCCAGAGTGGTTTATGTTAAAAAATCTGAAGTAACGGTTAGAAAACTGAAATTGTGAAATTGAAAAATGAGATTAGAGGGGTAGGGCACTAAAAGAAAAATTTGGACAAATTTCAAGAGATTGTGACGGGCAACGACTAAATAGGTGTTGTAGAGGAGACAATGGCGCATCGTTTAAGAAAATCTTCAGAGTGGTTTATGTTCGAAAATTTGAAGTTACGGTTAAAAAACTGAAAAATTTATTGTGAAATTGACAAAATGAGATTAGGGGGGTAGGGCACTAAAAGAAAATTTTATAATAATTTCAAGAGATTGTGACGGGCAACGACTATATAGGTGTTGTAGAGGAGACATTTGCGCATCGTTTTAGAAAATCTCCAGAGTGGTTTATGTTCGAAAATCTGAAGTTACGGTTAAAAAACTGAAAATTTTATTGTGAAATTGACAAAATGAGATTAGGGGGGTAGGGCACTAAAAGAAAACTTTGGACCAATTTCAAGAGATTGTGACGGGCAACGACTATATAGGTGTTGTAGAGGAGACATTGGTGCATCGTTTAAGAAAATCTCCAGAGTGGTTTATGTTCGAAAATCTGAAGTTACGGTTAAAAAACTGAAATTTTGAAATTGACAAAATGAGATTGGGGGATAGGCCAGTTTAAGTTAATTTTGGACCAATTTCAAGAGATTGTGACGGGCAACGACTATATAGGTGTTGTAGAATAGACATTGCCGCATCGTTTTAGAAAATCTCCAGAGTGGTTTATGTTCGAAAATCTGAAGTTACGGTTAAAAAACTGAAAATTGTATTGTGAAATTGACAAAATGAGATTAGGGGGGTAGGGCACTAAAAGAAAATTTTGGACCAATTAAAAGAGAATGTGGCGGGCAACGACTATATAGGTGTTGTAGAACAGACGTTGGCGCATCGTTTAAGAAAATCTCCAGAGTGTTTTATGTTCAAAAATCTGAAGTTACGGTTAAAAAACTGAAATTGTGAAATTGACAAAATGAGATTTGGAGGGTAGGCCAATTTAAGTTAATTTTGAACCAATTTCAAGAGATTGTGACGGGCAACGACTATATAGGTGATGTAGAAGAGACAATGGCGCATCGTTTAAGAAAATCTCCAGAGTGGTTTATGTTCGAAAATCTGAAGTTACGGTTAAAAAACTGAAATTGTGAAATTGACAAAATGAGATTAGGGAGAGGTAGGGCAATTTAAGTTAATTTTGGACCAATTTCAAGAGATTGTGACGGGCAACGACTATAAAGGTGTTGTAGAGGATAAACAATGGTGCATCGTTTAAGAAAATCTTCAAAGTGGTTTATGTTTAAAAATCTGAAGTTACGGTTACAAAACTGAAATTGAGAAATTGACAAAATGAGATAAGGGGGTAGGCCATTTTAAGTTAATTTTGGACCAATTTCAAGAGATTGTGACAGGCAACGACTAAATAGGTGTTGTGGAGGAGACATTGGCGCATCGTTTAAGAAAATCTCCAGAGTGGTTTATGTTCGAAAATCTGAAGTTACGGTTAAAATACTGAATAATTTATTGTGAAATTGACAAAATGAGATTAGGGGGGTAGGGCACTAAAAGAAAACTTTGGACCAATTTCAAGAGATTGTGACGGGCAACGACTATATAGGTGTTGTAGAGGAGACAATGGCGCATCGTTTAAGAAAATCTCCAGAGTGGTTTATGTTCGAAAATCTGAAGTTACGGTTAAAAAACTGAAAATATATTGTGAAATTGACAAAATGAGATTAGGGGGGGTAGGGCACTAAAAAAAAATGTTATACTAATTTCAAGAGATTGTGACGGGCAACGACTATAAAGGTGTTGTAGAGGAGACATTTGCGCATCGTTTAAGAAAATCTCCAGAGTGGTTTATGTTCGAAAATCTGAAGTTACGGTTAAAAAACTGAAAATTTTATTGTGAAATTGACAAAATGAGATTAGGGGGGTAGAACAATTTAAGTTAATGTTGGACCAATTTCAAGAGATTGTGACGGGCAACGACTATATAGGTGTTGTAGAGGAGACAATGGCGCATCGTTTAAGAAAATCTCAAGAGTGGTTTATGTTCGAAAATCTGAAGTTACGGTTAAAAAACTGAAAATTTTATTGTGAAATTGACAAAATGAGATTAGGGGGTAGGCCAAATTAAGTTAATTTTGGACCAATTTCAAGAGATTGTGACGGGCAACGACTATAAAGGTGTTGTAGAAGAGACATTGGTGCATCGTTTAAGAAAATCTCCAGAGTGGTTTATGTTCGAAAATTTGAAGTTACGATTAAAAAACTGAAAATATATTGTGAAATTGACAAAATGAGATTAGGGGGGGTAGGGCACTAAAAAAAAATGTTATACTAATTTCAAGAGATTGTGACGGGCAACGACTATAAAGGTGTTGTAGAGGAGACATTTGCGCATCGTTTAAGAAAATCTCAAGAGTGGTTTATGTTCGAAAATCTGAAGTTACGGTTAAAAAACTGAAAATTTTATTGTGAAATTGACAAAATGAGATTAGGGGGGTAGAACAATTTAAGTTAATGTTGGACCAATTTCAAGAGATTGTGACGGGCAACGACTATATAGGTGTTGTAGAGGAGACAATGGCGCATCGTTTAAGAAAATCTCAAGAGTGGTTTATGTTCGAAAATCTGAAGTTACGGTTAAAAAACTGAAAATTTTATTGTGAAATTGACAAAATGAGATTAGGGGGTAGGCCAAATTAAGTTAATTTTGGACCAATTTCAAGAGATTGTGACGGGCAACGACTATAAAGGTGTTGTAGAAGAGACATTGGCGCATCGTTTAAGAAAATCTCCAGAGTGGTTAATGTTCGAAAATCTGAAGTTACGGTTAAAATACTGAAAAATTTATTGTGAAATTGACAAAATGAGATTAGGGGGGTAGGGCACTAAATGAAAATTTTGGACCGATTTCAAGAGATTGTGACGGGCAACGACTATATATATATATATATAGGTGTTGTAGAGGAGACATTGGCGCATCGTTTAAGAAAATCTCCAGAGTGGTTTATGTTCGAAAATCTGAAGTTACGGTTAAAAAAACTGAAATTGTGAAATTGACAAAATGAGATTAGGAGGGTAGGGCACTAAAAGAAAAAATTAAGTTAATTTTGGACCAATTTTAAGAGATTGTGACGGGCAACGACTATATAGGTGTTGTAGAGGAGGCAATGGCGCATCGTTTAAGAAAATCTCCAGAGTGGTTTATGTTCGAAAATCTGAAGTAACGGCTAAAAAACTGAAATTTTGAAATTAACAAAATGAGATTAGGGGGATAGGCTAATTAAAGTTAATTTTGGACCAATTTCAAGAGATTGTGACTGGCAACGACTATATAAGTGTTGTAGAAGAGACATTGGCGCATCGTTTTAGAAAATCTCCAGAGTGGTTTATGTTCGAAAATCTGAAGTTACGGTTAAAAAACTGAAAATTATATTGTGAAATTGACAAAATGAGATTAGGGGGGGTAGGGCACTAAAAGAAAATGTTATACTAATTTCAAGAGATTGTGACGGACAACGACTATAAAGGTGTTGTAGAAGAGACAATGGCACATCGTTTAAGAAAATCTCCAGAGTGGTTTATGTTCGAAAATCTTATGTTACGGTTAAAAAACTGAAAATTATATTGTGAAATTGATAAAATGAGATTAGGGGGGTAGGGCAGTAAAAGAAAAATTTGGACCAATTTCAAGAGGTTGTGACGGGCAACGACTAAATAGGTATTGTAGAGGAGACAATGGATCATCGTTTAAGAATATCTCCAGAGTGGTTTATGTTCGAAAATCTGACGTTATGGTTAAAAAACTGAAAATTTTATTGTGAAATTGACAAAATGAAATTAGTGGGGTAGGCCAATTTAAGTTAATTATGGACCAATTTCAAGACATTGTGACGGGCAACGACTATAAAGGTGTTGTAGAAGAGACAATGCTGCATCGTTTAAGAAAATCTCCAGAGTGTTTTATGTTCGAAAATCTGAAGTTACGGTTAAAATACTGAAAAATTTATTGTGAAATTGACAAAATGAGATTAGGGGGGTAGGGCACAAAAAGAAAATTTTGGACCAATTTCAAGAGATTGTGACGGACAACGACTATATAGGTGTTGTAGAGGAGACATTGGCGCATCGTTTTAGAAATCTCCAAAGTGGTTTATGTTCAAAAATCTGAAGTAACGGTTAAAAAACTGAAATTGTGAAATTGAAAATGAGATTAGAGGGGTAGGGCACTAAAAGAAATATTTGGACCAATTTCAAGAGATTGTGACGGGCAACGACTAAATAGGTGTTGTAGGGGAGACAATGGCGCATCGTTTAAGAAAATCTTCAGAGTGGTTTATGTTCGAAAATTTGAAGTTACGATTAAAAAACTGAAAAATTTATTGTGAGATTGACAAAATGAGATTAGGGGGGGTAGGGCACTAAAAGAAAATGTTATACTAATTTCAAGAGATTGTGACGGACAACGACTATAAAGGTGTTGTAGAAGAGACATTGGCGCATCGTTTAAGAAAATCTCCAGAGTGGTTTATGTTCGAAAATCTGAAGTTACGGTTAAAAAACTGAAATTGTGAAATTGAAAAATGAGATTAGGGGGGTAGGCCACTAAAAGAAAATTTTGGACCAATTTCAAGAGATTGTGACGGGCAACGACTATATAGGTGTTGTAGAGGAGACATTGGCGCATCGTTCAAGAAAATCCCCAGAGTGGTTTATGTTCGAGAATTTGAAGTCACGGTTAAAAAACTGAAAATTTTATTGTGAAATTGACAAAATGAGATAAGGGGGGTAGGCCAATTTAAGTTAATTTTGGGCCAACTTCAAGAGATTGTGACGGACAACGACTATATAGGTGTTGTAGAGGAGACATTGGCGCATCGTTTAAGAAAATCTCCAGAGTGGTTTATGTTCGAAAATCTGAAGTTACGGTTAAAAAACTGAAATTGTGAAATTGAAAAATGAGATTAGGGGGTAGGGCACTAAAAATTTGGACCAATTTCAAGAGATTGTGACGGGCAACGACTTAAAAGGTGTTGTAGAGGAGACAATGGCGCATCGTTTAAGAAAATCTCCAGAGTGGTTTATGTTCAAAAATTTGAAGTTAGGGTTAAAAAACTGAAAATTTTATTGTGAAATTGACAAAATGAGATTAGGAGGGTAGGGCACTAAAAGAAAAATTTGGACCATTTTTAAGGGATTGTGACGGACAACGACTATATATGTGTTGTAGAGGAGACATTGGCGCATTGTTTAAGAAAATCTCCAGAGTGGTTTATGTTCGAAAATCTGAAGTTACGGTTAAACAATAAACAGCTGCGCCATGAGCGCTTGATACGCCCGTCGTCTTGTGTGTGAACTTTTATGCAATAATCATATATAGTTTCTGACATACGGCGCAACATGTGAAAACCCCCCTTTTTTTTACAAAAAACTCAATATCTCTAAAATAAAATTTTGAATCAAAACCAAAAAGTATACAGATCTTTAGATTAATATAACTAAGAAGTGTGTAAAATTTTAAGCAATAATCATAAATCGTTTTAGAGATACGGCGCGACATGTGAAACCCCCCCCCCCCCCCTTCTTTTTTTTACAAAAAACTCAATATCTCAAAAATAAAATTTTGAATCAAAACCAAAAAGTATACAGATCTTTAGATTAATATAACTAAGAAGTGTGTAAAATTTTAAGCAATAATCATAAATCGTTTTTGAGATACGGCGCGACATGTGAAAAACCCCTCCCGCTTATTTTACAAATACTCAATAACTCAAAAATAAAATTTTGAATCATCACCACAAAGTATACAGATCTTAAGATTAATATAACTAAGAAGTGTGTAAAGTTTTAAGCAATAATCATAAATTGTTTTTAAGATACGGCGCGACATGTGAAAAAAAAACACACACCTGTTTTAGTTACTAAGTCCCGTAACTCAAAAAGTTTTAATCCTATTTTCACCAAAAAGTATACAGATTGTTTGACCATCATAAGAAACAACTATATTAAGTTTCATGAAATTTGGATAAGTCGTTCTCAAGTTACGGTGCGACATGTTTACGCCGGACAGACAGACGGACAGACGGACAGACGGACGGACGGACAGACGGACAGACGGACGGACGGACAGACGGACAAACGGACCGACGGACAGACGGACAGACGGACAGACGACATTTGTATACCATAATACGTCCCGTCAAAATTTTGACGGACGTATAAAAACTGAAATTGTGAAATTGACAAAAACGGAAAAATTGATGAAATTTTCGTTTCCGTTCTCTAACTTCAGTTTGCCTCAACCAAATGTTATGAAACTTAGACACAATGCTTATTACCACAAAACGGTCTCAACTGTATGTGGAAGTTGACTCATGTATATTTAAAATCTTGAAAAAAAATAGACCAACACTCATCCTTAATGTTTAAAATTAATTATTTCCCAGTTAATCAAAGTGACAATTTATATACCTTCAGACATTTATTGACATGTACAATATATTTCAGATCACTTGAAGTAGTATTGGCAGTAATTTTAAAGTGATCATTTGATTAAGTATTTGAATGGGCTTGATAGTGCTTTCTTTTTTCGATATCTCACTTTTTGTAGTAGTCATTCAAAATTCGTAATTTGTCTAAATAAACATATCTTTAATAAAAAAATATCACAAAATAATAAAGAAAAAACGTACGGAAACAGAAGAGGGCAAGTGGCCGAAAATGGTTTATTTATTACAATAACAAAAATAGACATAATTTGAAAGTCACAATAATGAAATGCTTACGTTTTCCCTTTTCTTTAGATTACTACGTATTCGTGAACATATACATGCAAACAAATAAATATTTTCCTCTCATTCTACGTTTAGAATTAACAATGGTAATGGAATTAAATGAGGTTTTTCTAAACATTTAATTATGTATACTTCTGTTAATATTTGAAATGTATGTTCTTATTATTTAGTTACTTTTTGTTGGGTTGCTTAATGATTGACATTTGCACTTCATTTGGTCTTATTTATACCAAATGAATACTCATTCATTTTACAATAACAATAACAATAGGTCTTGACAGATACAAGTTCTTAATTACTTCATTTAATTTAAGGATGAAAATGCAAAGGGATACTGAATTGCACATAACTATTACATCTTATTTACTTTTGTTTTAATGAGTTTGGACAGATGGGCATAAATCCTTCATTTGAAACAATTAAACTTGTTATAAAATATTGTAAGAGGAAATCTGTCACTGAAACCAATTAATCCACCTTAAAATTTGGTGGTTCACACAATAAAATTCTAACCTTAGAGATTTGGTAAATTGTTTTAAATGGCTTTCTATAATCATTATCATGATAATATATCATGTGTCTCTAGATTTCAATTAAATTCATGTTTTATTAAAGAAACAGGGGGGGGGAGGGGGGGGGGGACACACACATTGAATGAAAAGTGATATTACATGTTTAATATAACATAACAAAATAACAAAACATTTAACATAAATAGTTTAAGAAAGGTCGTAATGGAATTGTAGCAAACTTTGCACACTTTTAAATGACTTTGTAAATCAACAAAAAATACTCCGGCGTTATGGTCATTATTTTTCATAACAATTCTTTCAGTGGAATTTTGATAAAGTCGTGTATTTCTTCCTGAAAAGGTTCTGTTTCGTACACATCGCTATGCAACCAACAGTCCGCTCCGGTATCACTTGGTCCAACTCTTTATTGGAATAATTGAAATCTAAACAAGCTTCTGTCCAAGTTTGGTACAAATCCAGGATAGTTTAAGAAAGTTATTAAAAGTTTGAAAACTTTAACCACAGAGTGAATGTAATGTTAACTGGCAGAAAAACTTAGTTCATTTATAAGTAAAATACGGATAAACAGGATTGTTTTTTTTTAACAAAATTAACTTTTGAATACTATCTTATGATCATTAACAAGCTTCTGTCCAAGTATGGTACAAATCCAGGATAGTTTAAGAAAGTTATTAAAATTTGAAAACTTTAACCACAGAGTGAATGTTATGTTAACTGGCAGAAAAACTAAGTCCAGTTAGGAGTAAAATACGGATAAACAGGATTTTTTTTTTTACAAAATTTACTTCTGGATACTATCTTATGATCATAAACAAGCTTCTGTCCAAGTTCATTAGAAATCCAGGATAGTTTAAGAAAGTTATTAAAATTTCAAAACTTTCGTGTGAATATGGTGTAAAATGTTAACAAACAGACTTCTTCTCTGGTAAGACGGGAAATAAAAGTTTAAAAAAAGCGTCAAAGGTAAAAACATCAATTGAACTTATACACGTTGAATATAAAATTATCCTTAGAATTCTCTTTTTGAATATTCAAAAATGTGTAATAAAGCCAACTGTAGGGTGTAGGTAGGTGAAATTCTAACATAAAAACCGATCTAGAATTGATACTTTAAGTCAGAAGAGCATAAGTTATGGAACAAAATAACATTTGGCTGAGACAAATTGGAGTTAAAGAGAACGGAAATGAAAATTTCAGCATTTTTTTCTATTTGTAAAGGAGTATAACTCTAGAACGGTAAAAGTGACGCCACCAAAGTTAAAATTTGATCTGTATTTTGTGGTAATAGGCATCGTTTGTTGATGTGGTTCATAAGTGTTTCTCGTTTCTCGTTTTTTATATAGATTAGACCGTTGGTTTTCCCGTTTGAATGGTTTTACACTAGTAATTTTTGGGGCCCTTTATAGCTTGCTGTTCGGTGTGAGCTAAGGCTCCATGTTGAAGACCGTACTTTGACCTATAATTGTTTACTTTTATAAATTTTTACTTGGATGGAGAGTTGTCTTATTGGCACTCATACCACATCTTCTTATATCTTTATATTGTGTATAAGTTTTATGACAATTGGTTGAGGCAAACTAAAGTTAGAGAACGGAAACCAATTTTGGGACGTACGGACACAGGGACGTTCAGACGGACAAGGGTAAAGTTTAATGCCCCTCCGCTACGGCGGAGGCATAATAAGCTAAAAAATATCGATAGGTTATCGAGTTCCTTTTTGTGATATATGTTTTGTTTTTTTTAGATGGGGCGAAAAGGATGACTCGGACTTTTACATTAAATTTTGCATTGGCATTATTTGGGACATACGGATGCACGGACGTACAGACGGACAAGGGTAAAGTTTTAATGCCCCTCCGCTACGGCGGGGGCATAAAAAGCTAAAAAAATATTGATAGGTTATCGAGTTCCTTTTTGTGATATATGATATTTTTTTTAAATGGGGCGAAAAGGATGAATCGGACTTTTACATTATATTTAGCATTGGCATTATTTGGGACGTACGGATGCACGGACGTACAGACGGACAAGGGTAAAGCTTAATGCCCCTCCGCTACGGCGGGGCATAATAAGCTAAAAATGTTGATAGGTTATAGAATTCCTTTTAGTGATATATGTTTTTTTTTAATGGGGGGAAAAGGATGACTAAGACTTTTACATTATATTTAGCATTGGCATTATTTGGGGCGTACAGACGCACGGACGTACAGACGGACAAGGGTAAAGCTTAATGCCCCTCCGCTACGGCGGGGGCATAATAAGCTTAAAATATTGATAGGTTATAGAATTCCTTTTTGTGATATTTATTTCACACGCGAGTAAATGTAAATATATTTATTTTCTAAAAAGATATAAGTTCGATATCGCACAGCTAATTCTTCTAAAATCTAGAAACAACTGATTAACATAAAAGTTGACAAACACTAAAATTGGAACACGTGCAACCTAGTTCACGAGAAAGATAATAAACCGTTATTAGCTACCACAGACGAACATCTATCAACTCTTGCCATAAACTTGCGTATCGTCCCCATAACATTTATGAATTTGACAGTTGCTGAGTTCGGACAGAGAAAACAATAAACATTGATATAAACATCTATTAAAATTTTAAATTCAAATGAAAGTTGTGTTTTAAATTTCGTTTATATACGACCGCAAAAATTTTTGCGGTCGTATATTGGTATGACGTTGGCGTCGTCGTCGTCGTCGTCGTCGTTGTCGTCGTCGTCCGGCGTCGTCCGAAGACACATTGGCTTTCGCACTCTAACTTTAGTTTAAGTGATTGGATCTCTATGAAATTTTACCATAAGGTTCAATACCACAAAAGGAAGGTTGGGATTGATTTTGGGGGTTATGGTACCAACAGTTAAGGAATAAGGGGCCAAAAAGGGGCCAAAAATAAGCATTTTTGTAACTTCCAGACATAACTTGTGTGTTAGTGTATGGATCTCTCTGACATTGTACCACAAGGTTCCATATTACAAAGGGATTGCTGGGATTGATTTTGGGGGTAATTGCCTTAAAATATTAGGAATAAGGGGCCAAAAAGGGACAAAAAACAAGCATTTTTCTAGTTTCATGACAATAACTTGTGTGTAAGTGTATGGATCTTTCTGAAATTGTACTACAAGGTTCCATATCACAAAGGGAAAGCTGGAACTGAGTTTGGGGGTAATTGCCCGAAACGTTTAGGAATAAGGGGCCAAAAATAAGCATTTTTCTAGTTTCCAGACAATAACTTGTGTTCAAGTGAATGGATCTCTCTGAAATTGTACCACAAAGTTCCATATCACACAGGGAATGCTGGGATTGATTTTGGGGGTAATTGCCTCAAAATTTTAGGAATTAGGGGCCAAAAAAGGGGCAAAAAACAAGCATTTTTCCAGTTTCATGACAATAACTTGTGTGTAAGTGTTTGGATATTTCTGAATTGTACTACAAGGTTCCATATGAAAAAGGGAAAGCTGGAATTGAGTTTGGGGGTAATTGCCCGAAATGTTTAGGAATTGGGGGCCAAAAAGGGGCAAAAAAACAAGCATTTTTCTAGTTTCCAGACAATAACTTGTGTTCAAGTGTATGGATCTCTCTGAAATTGTACTGCAAGGTACCATACCACAAAGGGAATGCTGGGATTGAGTTTGGGGGTGATGAATCATAAGGGGGTTCAAAAAATTTGGGTTTTTTTTTTTGTTTTTTTTTCCTTTTTTTTGTTTTTTTTCTTTTAAAATTTTCCATTTTAAGTTGGTTATTTCTGATTTATATTTAAAAGCAAATAATAATGATATGGTAGGAGACACACATCAAACAGGATGTGTAAATTATTATATAATAAGTATTGTGCAATAGCAAGAAATTTTCAATTGCACAGTATTGCATAATAGCAAGAAATCTTCAATTGCACAGTATTGCGCAATAGCAAGAAATATCCAATAGCACAATATTGCGCAATAGCAAGAAATTGTCAATTGTGCAGTATTGCGCAATAGCAAGAAATATTCAATTGCACAGTATTGTGGAAAAGAAGATACTTCGTATAAATTGCTTATTTCTTGACCAATTTCAATGGGGTTTTATTCTTGAATTCTTGGTGTTCTTTAATATGCTGAATCTAACCGTGTATTAAGTTTTTGGATTTTGGGCCCCGTTTTTAAATTGGTCCACATTGAGGTCCAAAGGGTCCAAAATTAAACTTTGTTTGATTTCATCAAAAATTGAATTATTGGGGTTCTTTGATATGCCGAATCTAACCGTGTATTTAGATTCTTAATTTTTGGTTCCGTTTTCAAATTGGTCTACATTAAGGTCCAAAGGGTCCAAAATTAAACTAAGTTTGATTTTAACAAAAATTGAATTCTTAGGGTTCTTTGATATGCTGAATCTAAACATGTATTTAGATTTTTGATTATGGGCCCAGTTTTCAAGTTGGTCCAAATCGGGGTCCAAAATTAAACTTTGGTTTGATTTCAACAAAAATTGAATATATGGGGTTCTTTGATATGCTGAATCTAACCATGTATTTAGATTTTTGATTTTTGGGCCCCGTTATCAACTTTGTCCACATTGAGGTCAAAAGGGTCCAAAATTAAACTTTGTTTGATCTCATCAAAAATTGAATTCTTGGGGTTCTTTGATATGCTGAATCTAACCATGTATTTAGATTTTGGATATTGGACCATAATAGGTGAATGTCCAATTTAAAATTTTTAAGTTCTTAGACCACATTCATTCTGTGTCAGAAACCTATGCTGTGTCAAATATTTAATCACAATCCAAATTCAGAGCTGTATCAAGCTTGAATGTTGTGTCCATACTTGCCCCAACTGTTCAGGGTTCGACCTCTGCGGTCGTATCAAGCTGCGCCATGTGGAGCATTTTATTGTATTACTGTTCTTTTATATTTTCCATTATTTTGTAAAAAAAAATTGAAATTGTCTCAGTCAAATAATTTGACAAAGTTTATCAGAAGTTTAGCTATTACCCTATTATACTCAACGAAGCTCGGAGATAAATATACGTTCACCCGTTAGAAAGTAAAAAAGACCGTTGACTCGTCGAAAAAAGGAAAGGGGTGTGGTTTGGTCATTCAACAAGATAATTCCAAAGCTTTCAGACAAATTACTTCTTTATTTCAGCAATCACTTCTTTTTTATTAGTAAAATAAAATTAATAGGACTGTATTATATTTCTTTCCTTTTTTGGGGACCATTATTATCAATTATGTTGTGTGCAGTATACAAATATGTAATAATGTGCACGTTTACAATCATCCATGTTTTATGTGGATGGCGAAGTTGTTGACAGAAAGAGATATGCAAAAAGAATATAAAATGACATTGTCAAAGTTTTAGGACCCTGTTATTTCAATATAAAAAATTACTTACTTCATTGTCGTGTTTGTGGACTACCGACTCAAGATAATGTTGATTTCAACAAAGTGTGTTGTAAACGGTGTATACATACTGTCGGATAAATTTCGCGGGAAAAATATTGATGTACTTTTTTATACAAGTATAAAAAGTAACATCTTTCCATTATAAAATGGTAAACCCCGCTATTTATTTTCACCTAACTTCAGATTTCCAAACATAAACGATTCTGGAGTTTTTCTAAATAGATACGCCAATGTCTTTTCTAATGTCTCCTCTACGTTACATAAACAGTCGTTGCCCGTCACAATCTCTATAAATTGGTCTTCAATCATCTTAAGGTACGCCATCCCTCGTTTTTTAACCGTAACTTCAGATTTTGAACATAAACCACTCTGGAGATTTTCCTAAACGATGCGCCAATGTCTCTTCTACAACACCTATATAGTCGTTGTGCGTTACAATCTCTTTAAAACGGTCCAAATTTTTCTTTTAGTGCTCTACCCCCCTAATCTCATTTTGTCAATTTCACAATAAAATTATCAGTTTTTTAACCGTAACTTCAGATTTTCGAACATAAACCACTCTGGAGATTTTCTTAAACGATGCGCCATTGTCTCCTCTACCTTACCTATATAGTCGTTGGCCATCACAATCTCTTTGAAATGGTCCGAAATTTCCTTTTAGTGCCCTACCCCCCTAATCTCATTTTGTGAATTTCACAATAAAATTTTCATTTTTTTAACCGTAACTTCAGATTTTCGAACATAAACCACTCTGGAGATTTTATTAAACGATGCGCCATTGTCTCCTCTACAACACCTATATAGTCGTTCCCGTCACAATCTCTTGAAATTGGTTCAAAATTAACTGAAATTGGCCTACCTCCTTAATCTCATTTTGTAAATTTCACAATTTCAGTTTTTTAACCGTAACTTGATTTTCGAACCTAAAACACTCTGGAGATTTTCCTAAACGATGTGCCAATGTCACCTCTACAACAGCTATATATATAGTCGTTGTCCGTCACAATCTCTTTAAAATGGTCCAAACTTTACTGTTAGTGCCCTACCCCCCTAATCTCATTTTCTCAATTTCACAATTTCAGTTTTTTAACCGTAACTTCAGATTTTCGAACATAAACCACTCTGGAGGTTTTCTTAAACGATGCGCCAATGTCTCCTCTACAACACCTATATAGTCGTTGCCCGTCACAATCTCTCAAAATTGGTCCAAAATCAACTTAAATTGGCCTACCCCCCTAATCTCATTTTGTCAATTTCACAATTCAGTTTTTTAACCGTAACTTCAGATTTTCGAACATAAACCACTCTGGAGATTTTCTCAAACGATGCGCCATTGTCTTTTCTTCAACACCTATATAGTCGTTGCCCGTCACAATCTCTTCAAAATTGGTCCAAATTTTTCTTTTAGTGCCCTACCCCCTAATCTCATTTTGTCAATTTCACAATAAAATTTTAAGTCTTTTAATAACCGTAACTTCAGATTTTCGAACATAAACCACTCTGGAAATTTTCTTAAACGATGCGCCAATGTCTCCTCTTCAACACTTATATAGTCGTTGCCCGTCACAATCTCTTAAAATTGGTCCAAAATTAACTTAAATTGGTCTACCCCCCAATCTCATTTTGTCAATTTCACAATTTCAGTTTTTTAACCGTAACTTCAGATTTTCGAACATAAACCACTCTGGAGATTTTCTTAAACGATGCGCCGATGTCTCCTCTACAACACCTATATAGTCGTTGCCCGTCACAATCTTTTGAAATTGGTCCAAAATTTTTTTTTAGTGCCCTACCCCCCTAATATTATTTTGTCAATTTCACAATTTCAGTTTTTTAACCGTGATTTCAGATTTTCGAACATAAACCACTCTGGAGATTTACTTAAACGATGCGCCATTGTCTCCTCTACAACACCTTTTTAGTCGTTGCCCGTCATAATCTCTTGAAATTGGTCCAAAATTAACTTAAATTGGCCTACCCCCCTAATCTCATTTTGTCAATTTCACAATTTCAGTTTTTGAACCGTAACTTCAGATTTTCGAACATAAACCACTCTGGAGATTTTCTTAAACAATGCGCCATTGTCTCCTCTACAACACCTATAAAGTCGTCGCCCGTCACAATCTCTTGAAATTGGTCCAAAATTAACTTAAATTTGCCTACCCCCCTAATCTCATTTTGTCAATTTCACAATTTCAGTTTTTTAAACGTAACTTCAGATTTTCGAACATAAACCACTCTAGAGATTTTCTTAAACGATGCGCCAATGTCTCCTCTTCAACACCTATATAGTCGTTGAACGTCACAATCTCTTTAAAATGGTCGAAATGTTTCTATTAGTGCCCTACCCCCCTAATCTCATTTTGTCAATTTCACAATAAAATTTTCAGTTTTTTAACCGTAACTTCAGATTTTCGAACATAAACCACTCTGGAGATTTTCTTAAACGATGCGCCATTGTCTCCTCTACAACACCTATATAGTCGTTGTCCGTCACAATCTCTTTGAAATGATCCAAAATTTCCTTTTTGTGCCCTACCCCCCTAATCTCATTTTGTCAATTTCACAATAAAATTTTCAGTTTTTTAACCGTAACTTCAGATTTTCGAACATAAACCACCTTGGAGATTTTCTAAAACGATGCGCCATTGTCTCCTCTTCAATACCTATTTAGTCGTTGCCCGTCACAATCTCTTGAAATTGGTCCAAAATTAACTAAAATTGGCCTACCCCCCTAATCTCATTTTGTCAATTTCACAATTTCAGTTTTTTAACCGTAACTTCAGATTTTCGAACATAAACCACTCTGGAGATTTTCTTAAACGATGCGCTATTGTCTCCTCTACAATACCTTTATAGTTGTTGCCCGTCACAATCTCTTGAAATTGGTCCAAAATTAACTTAAATTTGCCTACCCCCCTAATCTCATCTTGTCAATTTCACAATTTCAGTTTTTTTACCGTAACTTCAGATTTTGGAACATAAACCACTCTGGAGATTTTCTTAAACGATGCGCCAATGTCTCCTCTACAACACATATAAAGTCGTTGCCCGTCACAATTTCTTGAAATTGGTCCAAAATTAACATAAATTGGCCTACCCCCTAATCTCATTTTGTCAATTTCACAATATAATTTTCAGTTTTTTAACCGTAACTTCAGATTTTCGAACATAAACCACTCTGGAGATTTTCTTATACGATGCGCCATTGTCTCCTCTACAACACCTATATAGTCGTTGCCCGTCACAATCTCTTGAAATTGGTCCAAAATTAACTTAAATTGGCCTACCCCCCTAATCTCATTTTGTCAATTTCACAATTTCAGTTTTTTAACCATAACTTCAGATTTTCGAACATAAACCACTCTGGGGATTTTCTTAAACGATGTGCCATTGTCTCCTCTACAACACCTATATAGTCGTTGCCCGTCACAATCTTTTGAAATTTGTCCAAAATTAACTTAAATTTGCCTACCCCCCCCTAATCTCATTTTGTCAATTTCACAATTTCAGTTTTTTAACCGTAACTTCAGATTTTCGAACATAAACCACTTTGGAGATTTTCTAAAACGATGCGCCAATGTGTCTTTTACAACCCCTATATAGTCGTTGCCCGTCACAATCTCTTGAAATTGGTCCAAAATTAACTTAAATTGACCTACCCCCTTAATCTCATTTTGTCAATTTCACAATTTCAGTTATTTTACCGTAACTTCAGATTTTCGAACATAATGCCTTGGAGATTTTCTTAAACGATGCGTCATTGTCTCCTCTACAACACCTATATAGTTGTTGCCCGTCACAATCTCTTTGAAATGGTCCAAAATTTCCTTTTTGTGCCCTACCCCCTAATCTCATTTTGTCAATTTCACAATAAAATTTTCAGTTTTTTAACCGTAACTTCAGATTTTCGAACATAAACCACCTTGGAGATTTTCTAACACGATGCGCCATTGTCACCTCTACAACTATTTAGTCGTTGCCCGTCACAATCTCTTGAAATTGGTCCAAAAATAACTTAAATTTGCCTACCCCCCTAATCTCATTTTCTCAATTTCACAATTTCAGTTTTTTAACCGTAACTTCAGATTTTGGAACATAAACCACTCTGGAGATTTTCTTAAACGATGCGCCAATGTCTCCTCTACAACACCTATATAGTCGTTGCCCGTCACAATCTCTTGAAATTGGTCCAAATTTTTCTTTTAGTGCCCTACCCCCCTAATCTTATTTTGTCAATTTCACAATTTCAGTTTTTTAACCGTGACTTCAGATTTTCGAACATAAACCACTCTGAAAATTTTCTTAAACAATGCGCCAATGTCTCCTCTACAACACCTATATAGTCGTTGCCCGTCACAATCTCTTGAAATTGGTCCAAAATTAACTTAAATTGGCCTACCCCCCTAATCTCATTATGTCAATTTCACAATTTCAGTTTTTTAACCATAACTTCAGATTTTCGAACATAAACCACTCTGGAGATTTTCTTAAACGATGTGCCATTGTCTCTTCTACAACACCTATATAGTCGTTGCCCGTCACAATCTCTTGAAATTGGTCCAAAATTAACTTAAATTGGCCTACCCCCCTAATCTCATTTTGTCAAATTCACAATTTCAGTTATTTAACCGTAACTTCAGATTTTCGAACATAAACCACCTTGGAGATTTTCTTAAACGATGCGCCATTGTCTCCTCTACAACACCTATATAGTTGTTGTCCGTCACAATCTCTTTGAATTGGTCCAAAATTTCCTTTTTGTGCCCTACCCCCCTAATCTCATTTTGTCAATTTCACAATAAAATTTTCAGTTTTTTAACCGTGACTTCAGATTTTCGAACATAAACCACTCTGGAGATTTTCTTAAACGATGCGCCATTGTCTCCTCTACAATACCTATATAGTCGTTGCCTGTCACAATCTCTTGAAATTGGTCCAAAATTAACTTAAATTGACCTACCCCCTAATCTCATTTTGTCAATTTCACAATTTCAGTTTTTTAACCGTAACTTCAGATTTTCGAACATAAACCACTCTGGAGATTTTCTTAAACGATGCGCCATTGTCTCCTCTACAATACCTATATAGTCGTTGCCTGTCACAATCTCTTGAAATTGGTCCAAAATTTCCTTTTTGTGCCCTACCCCCTAATCTCATTTTGTCAATTTCACAATAAAATTTTCAGTTTTTTAACCGTAACTTCAGATTTTCGAACATAAACCACCTTGGAGATTTTCTAACACGATGCGCCATTGTCTCCTCTACAACACCTATTTAGTCGTTGCCCGTCACAATCTCTTGAAATTGGTCCAAAATTAACTTAAATTGACCTACCCCCTTAATCTCATTTTGTCAATTTCACAATTTCAGTTATTTTACCGTAACTTCAGATTTTCGAACATAATGCCTTGGAGATTTTCTTAAACGATGCGTCATTGTCTCCTCTACAACACCTATATAGTTGTTGCCCGTCACAATCTCTTTGAAATGGTCCAAAATTTCCTTTTTGTGCCCTACCCCCTAATCTCATTTTGTCAATTTCACAATAAAATTTTCAGTTTTTTAACCGTAACTTCAGATTTTCGAACATAAACCACCTTGGAGATTTTCTAACACGATGCGCCATTGTCTCCTCTACAACACCTATTTAGTCGTTGCCCGTCACAATCTCTTGAAATTGGTCCAAAAATAACTTAAATTTGCCTACCCCCCTAATCTCATTTTCTCAATTTCACAATTTCAGTTTTTTAACCGTAACTTCAGATTTTGGAACATAAACCACTCTGGAGATTTTCTTAAACGATGCGCCAATGTCTCCTCTACAACACCTATATAGTCGTTACCCGTCACAATCTCTTGAAATTGGTCCAAATTTTTCTTTTAGTGCCCTACCCCCCTAATCTTATTTTGTCAATTTCACAATTTCAGTTTTTTAACCGTGACTTCAGATTTTCGAACATAAACCACTCTGAAGATTTTCTTAAACAATGCGCCAATGTCTCCTCTACAACACCTATATAGTCGTTGCCCGTCAAAATCTCTTGAAATTGCTCCAAAATTAACTTAAATTGGCCTACCCCCCTAATCTCATTATGTCAATTTCACAATTTCAGTTTTTTAACCATAACTTCAGATTTTCGAACATAAACCACTCTGGAGATTTTCTTAAACGATGTGCCATTGTCTCCTCTACAACACCTATATAGTCGTTGCCCGTCACAATCTTTTGAAATTTGTCCAAAATTAACTTAAATTTGCCTACCCCCCCCTAATCTCATTTTGTCAATTTCACAATTTCAGTTTTTTAACCGTAACTTCAGATTTTCGAACATAAACCACTTTGGAGATTTTCTAAAACGATGCGCCAATGTGTCTTTTACAACCCCTATATAGTCGTTGCCCGTCACAATCTCTTGAAATTGGTCCAAAATTAACTTAAATTGACCTACCCCCTTAATCTCATTTTGTCAATTTCACAATTTCAGTTATTTTACCGTAACTTCAGATTTTCGAACATAATGCCTTGGAGATTTTCTTAAACGATGCGTCATTGTCTCCTCTACAACACCTATATAGTTGTTGCCCGTCACAATCTCTTTGAAATGGTCCAAAATTTCCTTTTTGTGCCCTACCCCCTAATCTCATTTTGTCAATTTCACAATAAAATTTTCAGTTTTTTAACCGTAACTTCAGATTTTCGAACATAAACCACCTTGGAGATTTTCTAACACGATGCGCCATTGTCACCTCTACAACTATTTAGTCGTTGCCCGTCACAATCTCTTGAAATTGGTCCAAAAATAACTTAAATTTGCCTACCCCCCTAATCTCATTTTCTCAATTTCACAATTTCAGTTTTTTAACCGTAACTTCAGATTTTGGAACATAAACCACTCTGGAGATTTTCTTAAACGATGCGCCAATGTCTCCTCTACAACACCTATATAGTCGTTGCCCGTCACAATCTCTTGAAATTGGTCCAAATTTTTCTTTTAGTGCCCTACCCCCCTAATCTTATTTTGTCAATTTCACAATTTCAGTTTTTTAACCGTGACTTCAGATTTTCGAACATAAACCACTCTGAAAATTTTCTTAAACAATGCGCCAATGTCTCCTCTACAACACCTATATAGTCGTTGCCCGTCACAATCTCTTGAAATTGGTCCAAAATTAACTTAAATTGGCCTACCCCCCTAATCTCATTATGTCAATTTCACAATTTCAGTTTTTTAACCATAACTTCAGATTTTCGAACATAAACCACTCTGGAGATTTTCTTAAACGATGTGCCATTGTCTCTTCTACAACACCTATATAGTCGTTGCCCGTCACAATCTCTTGAAATTGGTCCAAAATTAACTTAAATTGGCCTACCCCCCTAATCTCATTTTGTCAAATTCACAATTTCAGTTATTTAACCGTAACTTCAGATTTTCGAACATAAACCACCTTGGAGATTTTCTTAAACGATGCGCCATTGTCTCCTCTACAACACCTATATAGTTGTTGTCCGTCACAATCTCTTTGAATTGGTCCAAAATTTCCTTTTTGTGCCCTACCCCCCTAATCTCATTTTGTCAATTTCACAATAAAATTTTCAGTTTTTTAACCGTGACTTCAGATTTTCGAACATAAACCACTCTGGAGATTTTCTTAAACGATGCGCCATTGTCTCCTCTACAATACCTATATAGTCGTTGCCTGTCACAATCTCTTGAAATTGGTCCAAAATTAACTTAAATTGACCTACCCCCTAATCTCATTTTGTCAATTTCACAATTTCAGTTTTTTAACCGTAACTTCAGATTTTCGAACATAAACCACTCTGGAGATTTTCTTAAACGATGCGCCATTGTCTCCTCTACAATACCTATATAGTCGTTGCCTGTCACAATCTCTTGAAATTGGTCCAAAATTTCCTTTTTGTGCCCTACCCCCTAATCTCATTTTGTCAATTTCACAATAAAATTTTCAGTTTTTTAACCGTAACTTCAGATTTTCGAACATAAACCACCTTGGAGATTTTCTAACACGATGCGCCATTGTCTCCTCTACAACACCTATTTAGTCGTTGCCCGTCACAATCTCTTGAAATTGGTCCAAAATTAACTTAAATTGACCTACCCCCTTAATCTCATTTTGTCAATTTCACAATTTCAGTTATTTTACCGTAACTTCAGATTTTCGAACATAATGCCTTGGAGATTTTCTTAAACGATGCGTCATTGTCTCCTCTACAACACCTATATAGTTGTTGCCCGTCACAATCTCTTTGAAATGGTCCAAAATTTCCTTTTTGTGCCCTACCCCCTAATCTCATTTTGTCAATTTCACAATAAAATTTTCAGTTTTTTAACCGTAACTTCAGATTTTCGAACATAAACCACCTTGGAGATTTTCTAACACGATGCGCCATTGTCTCCTCTACAACACCTATTTAGTCGTTGCCCGTCACAATCTCTTGAAATTGGTCCAAAAATAACTTAAATTTGCCTACCCCCCTAATCTCATTTTCTCAATTTCACAATTTCAGTTTTTTAACCGTAACTTCAGATTTTGGAACATAAACCACTCTGGAGATTTTCTTAAACGATGCGCCAATGTCTCCTCTACAACACCTATATAGTCGTTACCCGTCACAATCTCTTGAAATTGGTCCAAATTTTTCTTTTAGTGCCCTACCCCCCTAATCTTATTTTGTCAATTTCACAATTTCAGTTTTTTAACCGTGACTTCAGATTTTCGAACATAAACCACTCTGAAGATTTTCTTAAACAATGCGCCAATGTCTCCTCTACAACACCTATATAGTCGTTGCCCGTCAAAATCTCTTGAAATTGCTCCAAAATTAACTTAAATTGGCCTACCCCCCTAATCTCATTATGTCAATTTCACAATTTCAGTTTTTTAACCATAACTTCAGATTTTCGAACATAAACCACTCTGGAGATTTTCTTAAACGATGTGCCATTGTCTCCTCTACAACACCTATATAGTCGTTGCCCGTCACAATCTCTTGAAATTGGTCCAAAATTAACTTAAATTGGCCTACCCCCCTAATCTCATTTTGTCAAATTCACAATTTCAGTTATTTAACCGTAACTTCAGATTTTCGAACATAAACCACCTTGGAGATTTTCTTAAACGATGCGCCATTGTCTCCTCTACAACACCTATATAGTTGTTGTCCGTCACAATCTCTTTGAATTGGTCCAAAATTTCCTTTTTCTGCCCTACCCCCCTAATCTCATTTTGTCAATTTCACAATAAAATTTTCAGTTTTTTAACCGTGATTTCAGATTTTCGAACATAAACCACCTTGGAGATTTTCTAAAACGATGCGCCATTGTCTCCTCTACAACACCTATTTAGTCGTTGCCCGTCACAATCTCTTGAAATTGGTCCAAAATTAACTTAAATTGACCTACCCCCTAATCTCATTTTGTCAATTTCACAATTTCAGTTTTTTAACCATAACTTCAGATTTTCGAACATAAACCACTCTGGGGATTTTCTTAAACGATGTGCCATTGTCTCCTCTACAACACCTATATAGTCGTTGCCCGTCACAATTTCTTGAAATTTGTCCAAAATTAACCTAAATTTGCCTACCCCCCCTAATCTCATTTTGTCAATTTCAAAATTTCAGTTTTTTTACCGTAACTTCAGATTTTCGAACATAAACCACTCTGGAAATTTTCTTAAATGATGCGCCAATGTCTCCTCTACAACACCTATAAAGTCGTTGCCCGTCACAATCTCTTGAAATTGGTCCAAAATTAACTTAAATTGGCCTACCCCCTAATCTCATTTTGTCAATTTCACAATATAATTTTCAGTTTTTTAACCGTAACTTCAGATTTTCGAACGTAAACCACTCTGGAAATTTTCTTAAACGATGCGCCAATGTCTCCTCTACAACACCTATATAGTCGTTGCCCGTCACAATCTCTTTAAAATGGTCCAAATTTTTCTTTTAGTGACCTACCCCCCTAATCTCATTTTGTCAATTTCACAATATAATTTTCAGTTTTTTAACCGTAACTTCAGATTTTCGAACATAAACCACTCTGGAGATTTTCTTATACGATGCGCCATTGTCTCCTCTATAACACCTATATAGTCGTTGCCCGTCAGAATCTCTTGAAATTGGTGCAAAATTAACTTTAATTGGCCTACCCTCTAATCTCATTTTCTCAATTTCACAATTTCAGTTTTTGAACCGTAACTTCAGATTTTGGAACATAAACCACTCTGGAGATTTTCTTAAACGATGCGCCAATGTCTCCTCTACAATACTGTATAGTCGCTGCCCGTCACAATGTCTTGAAATTGGTCCAAAATTTTCTTTTAGTGACCTACCCCCGTAATCTTATTTGGTCAATTTCACAATTTCAGTTTTTTAACCGTGACTTCAGATTTTCGAACATAAACCACTCTGAAGATTTGTTTAAACAATGCGCCAATGTCTCCTCTACAACACCTATATAGTCGTTGCCCGTCACAATCTCTTGAAATTGGTCCAAAATTAACTTAAATTGGCCTACCCCCCCCCCCCCCCCCCCCCCCCCCTAAATCTAATTTTTTCAATTTCACAATTTTAGTTTTTTAACCGTGACTTCAGATTTTCGAACATAAACCACTCTGAAGATTTTCTTAAACAATACGCCAATATCTCCTCTACAACACCTATATAGTCGTTGCCCGTCACAATCTCTAGAAATTTGTCCAAAATTAACTTAAATTTGCCTTCCCCCCCCCTAATCTCATTTTGTTAATTTCACAATTTCAGTTTTTTAACCGTAACTTCAGATTTTCGAACATAAACCACTCTGGAAATTTTCTTAAACGATGCGCCAATGTGTCTTCTACAACACCTATATAGTCGTTGCCCGTCACAATCTCTTGAAATTGGTCCAAAATTAACTTAAATTGGCCTACCCCCCTAATCTCATTTTGTCGATTTCACAATTTCAGTTATTTTACCGTAACTTCAGATTTTCGAACATAAACCACTCTGGAGATTTTCTTAAACAATACGCCAATATCTCCTCTACAACACCTATATAGTCGTTGCCCGTCAAATCTCTTGAAATTTGTCCAAAATTAACTTAAATTTGCCGTCCCCCCCTAATCTCATTTTGTTAATTTCACAATTTCAGTTTTTTAACCGTAACTTCAGATTTTCGAACATAAACCACTCTGGAAATTTTCTTAAACGATGCGCCAATGTGTCTTCTACAACACCTATATAGTCGTTGCCCGTCACAATCTCTTGAAATTGGTCCAAAATTAATTTAAATTGGCCTACCCCCCTAATCTCATTTTGTCAATTTCACAATTTCAGTTATTTTACCGTAACTTCAGATTTTCGAACATAAACCACTCTGCAGATTTTTTTAAACGATGCGCCAATGTCTCCTCTACAAGACCTATATAGTCGTTGCCCGTCACAATCTCTTTAAAATAGTCCAAATTTTTCTTTTAGTGACCTACCCCCCTAATCTCATTTTGTCAATTTCACAATATAATTTTCAGTTTTTTAACCGTAACTTCAGATTTTCGAACATAAACCACTCTGGAGATTTTCTCAAACGATGCGCCATTGTCTCCTCTACAACACCTATTTAGTCGTTGCCCGTCATAAACTCTTGAAATTGGTCCAAATTTTTCTTTTAGTGCCCTACCCCCCTAATCTCATTTTGTCAATTGCACAATTTCAGTTTTTTAACCGTAACTTCAGATTTTCGAACATAAACCACTCTGGAGATTTTCTTAAACGATGCGCCATTGTCTCCTCTACAACACCTATTTAGTCGTTGCCCGTCACAATCTCTTCAAATTGATGCAAACTTTACTTTTAGTGCCCTACCCTCCTAATCTCATTTTGTCAATTTCACAATTTCAGTTTTTTAACTGTAAATTCAGATTTTCGAACATAAACCACTCTGGATATTTTCCTAAACGTTACGACAATGTCTCCTCTACATCACCTATAGGCAGTCGTTGCCCGTCACAATCTCTATAAATGGGTCAACAATCAACTTAAGGTATCCCCCCTTTTTGTTTTTAATTACAATTTTTCAACCTAACTTCAGATTTTTTAACATAAACCATCCTGGAAATTGTCTTAATAGATACACTAATGTCTCAGCTGCACAATCTCTATAAATGGGTCAAAAATCAACTTAATGTATGCCCCCTCCTCCCTTTTCGTTTTTACAATTTCAGTTTTTTAAACTTAACTTCAGATTTTTAAACATAAACCATTCTGGAGTTTGTCTTATTAGATACGACAATGTCTCCTCTATGTTACCTTTACAGTCGTTGCCTGTCACAATCTCTACAAATTGGTCAAAATCTTTATGGTATCCCTTTTGTTTTAATTTTTTTTATTCTTTTTTGTTTAATATTTTGAATATTCTTATAATTGTCCGCTAGGTCTCTGTAATTGTTCGCTAGCTCGAAAAGAACGTGATTGTCTTATGTGAAATTGTGGTTTTTAGTTATACATCCTAATTGTTCGCTGGCTAATTGTTCGCTACAATTGTTCGCTAGCTTGAGTCAAGTCAACTACAGTTTAGTCCAATATCACTAAGTTGATGAATACTTAATGAACTGTTCAATAGAGCATGTACTGTCACGACTGAAAAGATCACAAAATATCTTGACTCTGAAAATGAAAACACTGTTTCCACCAATTTCAATCTGTCGGCAAATGTCAACATTAATTGCTTTCACATGCTTCCAAAAAAAATATTGGACGAAAATGTAAACATCGCAAGAGTAATAAAATATTTTTCACCTGAAGCATGGCATTCAGACATTGAAAGTTTTTTAAACTTCATAAAGGGAAAATGCAGAATGGAATTGTACGGTATGCAATATAGAGCGTACACATTGCCGTATCACTGGTTTGTGACTGCTGCTTAGAGTGGTTTCACCGAAAATGCGTCGGACTAAAACATGCTCCAAAAACAACATACTGGATTTGTAGAAACTGTCATTGTAAATAAAAAATCAAAATATTGTATGCAATATTGTAAATATCAAATAAAAGTTTTCAAGTTTTATTTTAATACATATTTATTACTATTCCAATCGTACATTGCAGTGCGTTAATGTAACAATAACGCAATGTAACCGTAGACCCAAATATTTACATTCGTAATTAATTAATCGGTTCCTTACCCAACCCTGCATTCCGGCAATAAGTCTCCAATGTAACAATAATTTTTATATTATTGTTACATTTCCATGTAACCGTAGCCAGTGCCATAATATAAGTTATATGGTTCGCTACTGACCCCTACGGATCCATAGAGGGTTAGTAAAATCCATAGGGGGTGAGGCCGAAGGCCGAATCTCCTATGGATTTTATACACCTTATCGCTATTTGTCCGCCATTACTGGACATCACACAAGTTCCCGTAAAATTTTGACGTCATAATAGAAAATATCTGACGCCACAATGGAAAAGTGATTGTTGTATGACGTCAAAAGTTCGAGCGGGACTGATTCTCGGGTCAAGCGGGATTAGCGATAAGGTGTATTCACCCTCTATGGTCCGTAGGGGGTCAGTAGTAAACCGTATAACGAATTTATCGCACGCGGGACTTTTTCTGTTGCGTTTTGTAGAAAAATAAACAATGAAACACAACAACATTAATAGATGACGTCACCATTAACAGTAGACGTGACGTCATGAACCCCCTATGAAATTTACTAACCCCCTATGGATCCACCACATGACTGCGTTAAACCAATCACAACGTGATGATTTACCCACGGTGCGATATTAAATATCAAACAGCAACAATACTGAATAAAAGAGACGTGATATTTTATACAAGTACCAAAGAGAAACGTCATTCACAGCAATCATATCTATTGTTTCACTGCATTTTAAAAAATGTTTTTTTTTTGGCAACGCAAGCCAAGATTTTTTACAGAAAATCAACGGCCTTTATTACATATAATTTAGTTATAACAATGACTCACTTGTTTTTGTCCTGCAGTCAGCAAAGTATTGTACAAGTACATGTAACAGGTTCACAAATAGATATTTGCTTTATTTGTATAACGTGATAATTTACCGGCGGTGCGATAAAAGATAATATTACGTTCCGAATTGACTAACCAAATGACAATTTGACCTTTTCTATTGGTGACGGAATTCATCAGGTGCCGAGTTTAATACTACATCCTCTGTTTTTTTTTATATTTCAGAATCAAGTACGCGCTTTTGCTCATAGAGTGTTGACACACAGTGGAGACAAACCATTTGATACAGAAATGAATATGCGGCAAAATCGATTTTCCCGATTTCTATCATACTGACAAACTAATTATTTGAAAATGGCTACTCTTAATATAGAAATGGAACAGTTAGACAGAATGAAAGCTAGATTCGAGGCATTACGTGCAGAGGTACCTTTAATCAATGTGTTAAGCAAACTATAAGACCTGGTTCGTTTCCCTAAGAAAAAGTGGAGAATCCACTATTTTCTTAGGAAAATGCCTGTCCCAAAAATGAGGAAAAATTATACACGAAGGACAGCGGCTCTTTTCACAAATTATTTACAACAAATATTGGTCTCGCTTATTAACGACAAGAAGTACAATTTAGCAACAAGATTTGTCAAGAACTTGAAGAAGACAAAATAACACCTTATCCCTAAACACCTTATCGCTATTCCCGCTTGACCCGAGAATCTGTCCCGCTTGAACTTTTGACGTCATACAACAATCAATTTTCCATTGTGGCGTCAGACATTTTCTATTATGACGTCAAAATTTTACGGGAACTTGTGTGATGTCCAGTAATGGTGGACAAATAGCGATAAGGTGTATTTATTCCAATCTGGAGGGTTACACTAATGACTGGACCGATGACAGGACCAAAATGAAAATGCTAATATCTTTTTTATTTATCATAGGATTTTTCTCAAATTTGAAATATAATGAGATTTAATCATTTAATACTTAAATATAACAAATAAAATAAATTTTTTTTTTCAAAGCTTGCGAAAATGTGACCTGACCATCGTTGACAATGACCTGACTTACATCGGCAAAGACAGGACCAAATGAAAATGCTAATAACTTTTTTATTTCTCAAAGAATTTATCTCAAATTTGAAATATAATAAGATTTCATCATTTCATACATTGATATAAGAAAACAAAATTTCAAAGCTTGAGAAAACATGACCTGACCAATGTTGACAATGACTTGACCAACATGGACATGACCTGACCTATGAAAAGTCGGGAAGTTGTTTAAATGCAAATCGTAGTCGGTGAATCTTATAAATAAATAAATTGTAATATTTATGTTGATATATTAGTGCTAAAATAAATATTAATCTCTGCTAATTTCATTTATTGTTTGTTGGTACTCATTGAATCGTTTAATCCGGATTATCACACTCTTATTGAGGAAGTCTAATCGTTGTCAAAACAAATAAATTGACAGATTAATTTTATTCCTTACAAATTCGTACATTTTACAAGATGTCATTGACATGTCTGCAATTAGGATTTGTATGAAGGTTTTCATGCCCCAGCCGAAGAGGAGGGGGCATTAAGTTTTACGTACGTATGTCCCAAAGTTGGTTTCCGTTCTCCAACTTTAGTTTGCCTCGACCAAATGTTATGAAACTTACACAAAATGCTTATTACCACACAAAACACAGATAAAGTTTGAATTTTGGTGGCGTCACTTTAACCGTTCTAGAGTTATGGCTTTACAAATGGAAAAATTGCTGAATTTTTCGTTTCCGTTCTCTAACTTTAGTTTGCCTCAACCAAATGTTATGAAACTTACCCATGATGCTTATTACCACAAAACACAGATTAAGTATGAATTTTTGGTGGTGTCACTTTAACCATTCTAGAGTTATGTCCCTTTACAAATGGAAAAATTGCTGAATGTTTCGTTTCTGTTCTCTAACTTAAGTTAGCCTCAACCAAATGTTATGAAACTTATACACACTGCTTTTAACCACAAAATACAGATCAAGTTTGAATTTTGGTGGTGTCACTTCAACCGTTCTAGAGTAATATTAATGCCACTTTACAAATGGAAAAATTGCTTAGTTTTTCATTTCCGTTCTCTAACTTAAGTTTGCCTCAACCAAATGTTATGAAACTTATACACAATGCTTATTAACACAAAATACAGATCAAGTTTGAATTTTGGTGGTGTCACTTTTACTGTTCTAGAGTTCTGCCCCTTTACAAATGGAATAAAATGCTCCGCTGGGCGCAGCTTGATACGACCGCAGAGGTCGAACCCTGAACAGTTGGGGCAAGTATGGACACAACAATCAAGCTTGATACAGCACTGAATTTGGATTGTGATTAAATATTTGACACAGCATAGGTTTCTGACACAGAATGAATGTGGTCTAAGAACTTAAATTTTTTTAATTTACCTATTCAAACCATAACATTATTATTTGCTTTTATATATAAATCAGAAATAAACAATTTAAAATGGAAAATTTTAAAGAAAAAAAAAAAGGAAAAAAAATCTCCCCCCCCCCCAATTTTTTGAACCCCCTTATCACTCATCACCCCCAAACTCAATCCCAGCCTTCCCTTTGTGGTATGGTACCTTGCAGTACAATTTCAGAGAATCCATACACTTCAGTGTTCTCCCCAGGCCCTTAAAGGACCGCGGGCCCGCGATGTATAATTTTCTACCGTGGTGGTATCGTTCTTGCCGCGATGTATAATTTTTCTCCGTGGTGCTAAAATTTTCGGTAAAAATATCGTAAATCGGTAAAGTTTTAAACGACTTGTTAAACCTTTTCCGTGGGGTATAAAATTTCAGATGGAAATTGACCAGTTCAAACCAGTTCAAACAACTTGATTGTTTACACCACGTGATCGATTTACCTTTTGAGGTTAACCTTGATGATTGGATTTAATCGATGTACATGATTCTTTTGTGTTTTAATTAATTAAGAGATCATAATTAATGATCAGACTTGTGAGGGACAAGCAGACATTTGTTAATTAACTCTATTACTCCAGCCTTTGGTTATAAATAACTTGCGTATTTTAAACGTGTTGGAGTTACTTCCCCTGAATTAGCTTATTACAAATAAGTGCTCCTAAAATATCATCTATCATTGAAAATAGAAATAAAGTACAAATTGAATGCAAAATTATACAAGAATGTTACCTTAAGGATAAAAACTTTCTTTGAACATACCAACAAAAAATATATTGCAAATTATTTTTGATAATCATACTTTAATTAATGCACAGACATATTATAATAAATAGGTAGTATTTTCTAATTGGTAACTGATTTCTTCCCAGTCTTTAAACACTGATTGGAACTCAGCTTGATATGATATGTGGGTGTACATATAGATGATATATATTTACTTTACATGTCTATCTACCAAGTAACACAATAATGATTCTAATAATAATTGTATTGTTGTTTAAAAGAATCATGTCTAAAGCTATGGAAAATAGTTTTTAATTTACTAGAGGTTCTGCATTAAAATTTAATCTTGTTTAAATTTAATTGTTATGGTGTAATCTAACAAAAATGGGGAAAGTGTAGTGTAACTACAAGTATCAGGACAAATTGGCTTGATCAAAATATAAAAAGTGACTTAAGTTTAAAGACTAATAGTGCTTTCTTTTATTTATTCTTAAAAGAAATTAAAGTATACAAACTGTTTATTGATTTACTTCTTTTTTTACCAGTAATTTTTTGACCCAAAGTCTACATAACACAGTAAACAAAACAAAGACAAAAAGGTAATGACACAAAAACTAACAAGAAAACAAAAGCAATGCAACGCGACACAGCATATTGTACAAATCATTTTGACACGCGTTACCCTGGTGCTATCGAAAAATCCTGGGGAGAACACTGCACTTGAACACAAGTTATTGTCTGGAAACTAGAAAAATGCTTGTTTTTAGGCCCCTTTTTGGCCCCAAATTCCTTAACATTTAGGGCAATTACCCCCAAACTCAAACCCAGCTTTCCCTTTGTGATATGGAACCTTGTAGTACAATTTCATAAAGATCCATACACTTACACACAAGTTATTATCATGAAACTAGAAAAATGCTTGTTTTTTGCCCCTTTTTTGCCCCTAATTCCTAAACTTTTAAGGCAATTACCCCCAAAATCAATCCCAGCCTTTCCTTTGTGGTATGGTACCTTGCAGTACAATTTCAGAGAGATCCAAACACTTGAACACACGTTATTGTCTGGAAACTAGAAAAATGCTTATTTTTGGCCCCAAATTCCTAAACATTTTGGGCAATTAACCCCAAACTCAATTCCAGCTTTTCCTTTGAGATATGGAACCTTGTAGTACAATTTCATATAGATCCATACACTTACACACAATTTATTGTCCTGAAACTAGAAAAATGCTTGTTTTTTGTCCCTTTTTGGCCCCTAATTCCTAAAATTTTGAGGCAATTACCCCCATAATCAATCCAAGCATTTCCTTTGTGATATGGAACTTTGCATTTCAATTTCAGAGAGATCCATACACTTGAACACAAGTTATTGTCTGGAAACTAGAAAAATGCTTATTTTTGGCCCCTTTTTGGCCCCTTATTCCTAAACGTTTTGGGCAATTACCCCCAAACTCAATTCCAACTTTCCCTTTGTGAAATGGAACCTTGTAGTACAATTTCAGAAAGATCCATAGACTTACACACAAGTTATTGTCATGAAACTAGAAAAATGCTTGTTTTTTGCCCCTTTTTTGGCCCCTAATTGCTAAAACAATTACCCCCAAAATCAATCCAAGCATTTCCTTTGTGATATGGAACCTTCTGGTACAATTTCAGAGAAATCCATACACTAACACACAAGTTATGTCTGGAAGTTAAAAAAATGCTTATTTTTGGCCCCTTTTTGGCCCCTAATTCCTTAACAGTTGGTACCATAACCCCCAAAATCAATCCCTGCCTTCCTTTTGTGGTATTGAACCTTATGGTAAAATTTCATAGAGATCCATTCACTTAAACGAAAGAGTGCGAAAACCAATGTGTCTTCGGACGACGACGACTACGACGATGACGACGCCGGACGACGAAGACGCCAACGTCATACCAATATACCACCACAAAATTTTTTGCGGTCGTATAAAAATTGCTGAATTTTTTGTTTTAGTTCTCTAACTTAAGTTTGCCTCAACCAAATGTTATGAAACTTATACATAATACTTATTACCACAAAAAAAAACTCAGATCAAGTACAAATTTGGGTAGCATCACTTTTACTGTTCTTCAGGTATGTCCCTTTATAAATGTATATGATATGCAAGCGGGGGCATCATCTGTGTCCCATGAACACATTCCCCATTTATATAAAAAATGTTACATAGTAAAAACCTGTTTAAAATAATCAATTTATTCAACTTTAGGACAACTGTA